TCCCCCATCCCCCAACAATTTATTGTGGTTTGGGTGAAAGTTTACAGAGCAAATTAGTGTGCCATTTAACAGTTTATATACGTTTTGTTTTGTGAAGTTAGTTGTAATCTCCACAATTTACAGCTCTTCTCCCTTCTTCCCTGGGTTTCTCTTTTCCATTTGCCCATCTTTCCTGCCCCTTCCTGCCTCTAAGCTTTCCGTCTTGGTATGTAAGTATCTTTTGAAAAACCTTCTTTATGAAGTTCGGTATACTAGTCCTAATGGAGGATTTTTAAACTAGGTAATACCATAAAATATTACTTGTAACTTACTATATGCTACATTTTAGATAATATTACTGAAATAACCTCAGTATCTTTAGTGATTGGCCTTTTCTTTTCATGACAGGAAACCCTGAGTACATTGGAATATGCTCATCGAGCAAAGAACATATTGAATAAGCCTGAAGTTAATCAGAAACTCACCAAAAAAGCTCTTATTAAGGTAAGGCTGAAGTTTTATGGAGTAACATATTCTTGTTTGACAAATGTGAAACTAAGGCATTGACACATTGTTAAACAATCTGTTAAATGGCGTGGGGTAAGGCTTTTCATCTAGTGATTTAAACTAAATACCTTATATGTTACAAATGTGTATTCTAATGCTGATATTTTGAGTTTACCAGCTCTGGTAGCTAGTGCCTAAGGCACTTGACTGCTAACCAGAAGGCTGATGGTTTAAACCCACCAGCCAGTCCTTGGAAGGAAGGTTGGGAAAACTACCTCCGTAGTGATACTGCCTCGGAAACCCAAGGAGGGTCGCTATGAGTCGGGTCCGACTTGATGGCTTGTAACAACAACAAAAACCAATTGAGTTGGCACCATCTGAAAAATATGCATGTTTACAAAATTTATTTATTTGCAACTTTGAGGCATAATTTATATACCATAACATTCACACATTGTGAGTGTATAATTCAGTCGTTTTTAGTAAATTTATAGAGTTGTGCAACATCACTACAATCCAGTTTTAGGAAATTTCCACTCACTTCTAATTCATTCTTTTTTTTTTTTTTTTTATTGATTAGCTGGATGGACTACCTTAGCTTCCCAGTGGTATAGTTCTTAAGGGATAGGTAGGACAAACGCTTGATTAATTTCCTTAATTGTCAGTTTTCAGAGTGATTAGTTGGTTCCCTAGCTCTTTTAGTATCATTATAAACTCATGGACTTAACATGTTTGTGTTTCAACGTGGCTTCATCTGTTGGTGTTTCTTCCGGTTGGTACTTGGGTCCTTTTTCACTAGCCTCAGTAGGCTCCCTTAGGTACCTTCCCATCTTGTTTGACAAGATGTTCCAGGTTTATCTTGAATATTTCCCACCCCAGTCCTAGAATCAAACATTTCTGTAAGGACTCCTACTTCTTTTTAGTGTGAAATGCTATTTTGGAGGCCAGTCTGGTATGAAAATGATGTGGTGTCTTCAGACCTCCCTGTCTAACTTCATGAGGAGGAGAATCACCATCAGCATCAGATTCCAATGGCTGGAGGTCAGACGTACCTCCAGTCTCCAACCTTTTTACCAGTTTAGACACCAGCTATCACTTTCATGGCACTGTCTTCTTCTCTGTTAGACTCAATAATTTGTTGCAATGGCCACATAGAACTCACAGACCATACTCAAGATTATGGAATTTATTGGTAAGTAATAGGTTACAATTCAGGATCAGGATCAATTTAAAAATAAAAGGAACAACTCAGGATATGAGAAGAATCAGGACAACTTCTTCTCAGCCTTGCCCATAGTCAGGGCCTCTGCTACCAGGCCTTTGCTCTTAGCTTTGGCTCCTGCTTTCAGCCTCAGCCTCCACTCTTGTGTTACAAAGCTATCTGGCTCCTCCAGTAAGTGCCTGGAGACACCTGACTCTACCAGAAAGCCTCTTGCCTGTGCTGTGCTCAGCTCTCTTGTTCCATGGGCCAGGAAGCCCATTGTAGCTGCCTCACTATGTGGACTGGGAAGCCTATCACACTGTCTTGTCCTGGTTTCCTGGTTCCTGCTGTCTTGTCTGCTACCGGCTATAGTGTTACAGCTTCCTGTCTCCTGAGTCTAAGGGTTTCTCAGTACAGGGACCTGGGTTCAAAGGATATGCTCTATTCCTACTCTTCTTTTTGATGGTAGTGCGGTCCTCCCTCCCCAACTTTTAGATTGGCTCCTTTTTAGCCTCATGGAATGGCACAACTGACCAGTACCCACAAGGGTTCCATGCACCTTACTTCATGGTCCCACCCCGTAAGGGTTCCATGTACCTTATTTGCATTAACAAAACTGTCTCACTAGATGCATTAGTCGCCCTTGGTGGGCCACAAGCACCTTATTTACATGGTCCCACCCAATCATAAAGGTGTCATTTTGATGCCTAAGGTGCACCTAACCCAAGCCATGGTATTTTCAATCACTTCATATGCGTATAAAAGCTGGACAATGAATAAGACTGAAGAAGAGTTGATGCTTTGAATTGTGTCAGTGAAGAATACTGAAAATACCATGGACTGCCAGAAGAACAAACAAATCTATCCTATAAGAAGTGCTGCCGAATGCATCTTAGAAGCAAGGATGGCCAGACTTTGTCTCACTTACTTTGGCCATGTTGTGAGAAGGGACCATTCCCTGCAGAAGGATATCATGTTTGATAAAGTGGAGGGTCAGCAAAAGGAAGACCCTCAATGAGGTGGATTTACACAGTGGCTGCGACCATGGGCATAAGTATAGCAGAGATTATAAGTATGGCACAGGACTGGGCAATGTTTCGTTCTGTTGTACAGGGTCACAATGAGTTGGATTTGACTCCACTGCACTTAACAGAAACAACAACAACCACCCAATCATTTCATGGGAGTCACAAGACTGTGGTTAGAAGGACCATTTTAAAGCAATTCACTGCACTGAACCTAGGCACTAGAAGTTGTGTTTTTTTTTCTTAAGAAGCTTTTATTTTTATAATGAGTACATTTTACAGGTGCTTAGAAAGCCTTTGAAAAACTTCATTTCTAAACAGGTTAATTATTGATTGGCACAGGAGCAGGTTGTGTTTTGTTCTGTTGTACATAGGGTCACTAGGACTCAGAACCAGATGGCGCCTAACACAATAATCATTAATTGAATTTATTCATGTTTTAAAAAACATATAAAAAGGCCAACCTTATGTTTTTATTTGTGGTATATTTTCTCTAAACTGAATGAAAGATGTCAAGTGTTAAGGCCTGCGTTTCTCTTGTATAGGAGTATACAGAAGAGATAGAGCGCCTGAAGCGAGATCTTGCTGCAGCCCGTGAGAAAAATGGAGTGTACATTTCTGAAGAAAATTTTAGGTAAGCCCTTGGCTTCAAAATTTATGGAATTATTTTCTAAGACTAGCACTTTCTTAGAACCTGTTGTTTAAAGTGAAGTTTATTCACGGGGCACTTTCTTAGAACCTGTTGTTTGAAGTGAAGGTTATTCACAGGGCAGTGAGTAAAATCTTTTTGCTAAAGCCTCCTGTGATTGCTTCTTCTTGTTTTAACATGAACAGGAGATTTCAAACGTGTTTTAGAATATTTTTATTAACTTTTTATTTTTAAATAATTATAGATCCACATCCAGTTGCAAAAAGACTACTTCCAACCACATCCAGACTTACCCTTGTAGTAGAATAAAAGTCATTCATTTCAGAATGAAGGTCAAAAAGAGAATGAATATTCGATTTATAAAAACAGGGACAAAGAATACATTTATTCTTTGCAATTTGTGTTTATTGCTTATTGACACATGGGCATGATTATAATGATAGTTATAAATAAGTAACTGCCATTATTATGTTAGAATGAATTTTAGATATTAAGAAAAAAAATATTAACTGTCAAATTCCTATTAAAATTTATTTTAGAGCCATGAATGGAAAACTAACTGTTCAAGAAGAACAGATTGTAGAATTGATTGAAAAAATTGGTGCCATTGAGGAGGAGCTAAGTAGGGTAAGCATTAAAAGTCTGTCACATCTTAATTTCACTATCATCAATGATAATGAGGATGCTTATCTATTTTGATATTTATATTAATGCAACATGGCAAGATCGTAATTGTATGATTTTGTTGTTAAACCTACAAAATAGTAGATGCTGAAACGTTTCATTAGCATATCTATCAGATAAGAGAATACAGACATTAAATAAACTGGATGTTAAATAAAAGTAATAATTAGGTAAGGTGGAGAGATCTGACCCTTAGCTACCATGTTTGCATTAACACCTTTAAAATCCTTTGGCATTGCTAGAAAGAATTTGAAGAATTGATACCAATACACTAGGCTTGTTATTTCTTCCCAAAGTTTTTGATGAATTTACAAGAAGAAACCAGATGCTATATAGAATGTGCTAATATACCTGGTAACTTATAATTTTTACATGAAAATACTTAATTTATTCAGTTCTTCTAATTTATATTGTGAATTTATTCATTTCTACTATTGTATTATGAACTAGCCAGGTGTCTCTCAAACTAGTTTAGCATTAATTCTTTTTTTTAAAAAAAATATTTAATGTGTGTCATTAGGTTACAGAGTTGTTTATGGATAATAAAAATGAACTTGACCAATGTAGATATGACCTGCAAAATAAGACTCAGGAACTTGAAACCACTCAAAAAAATTTACAAGAAACTAAATTACAACTCATTCAAGAAGAATATATCACATCAGCTTTGGAAAGTACTGAAGAGAAACTTCATGATACTGCCAGCCAGGTTTGTCCTTTGTTTTGATTTGGTATTCCCATTAAAGAAATTAGAGGATGCATGCTACTAACTTTCTTTGTTTAAGTATTAATTTGGAGGTTCTGTTTACTCACCCAAATAAGATTTTTGTAAGTTTATAACACATTATTTTAACTATTTCCTCCAAATTTTCCTCACTGGAGCTGCTGATTTAAGAAAAATCTATTCCTGACATTTTGAAAGTGGAGCACAACTTTAATATACATTGTAGACATTTAGAAAAATGGTGTGTGATTCTTTCCCTCATGATAATGACTGAAAGTAATCAGGTATTAAGAATTTCAGGAGCTCTGGTAGCATAGTGCCTAGGGCACTTGACTGCTAACCAGAAGGCTGGCGGTTCACACCCACTAGCCTCTCCCCAGAGGGAAGGTTGGGCAGTCTACTTCTGTAGTGAATATTGCCTTGGAAACCCAAGGAGGGGTCATTATAAGTAGGGTCTGACAGCGCATAACAACAACAACAATGGAAGATGTTAAAAGTATTTAATTTCCTATTAGCTGTACCTTTTAGAAAATGGTAAAACAATAGGAAAAGAATTTGTAAAGAAGCAAAATTACTCCAGTAGATAAGAGAAATCAGTTTGGCTTGTCTGGATTGCTAGGGGAGGGGAAATACGCATTCCTGGGCAACTGGATAATTTGAGATTAAGAAATTCTTCAAATCTACTGTCAAAAACTTACTAGTTCTCATAAGGGTAAATCCTTCTTTAGACAGATATTTTCATTAGATTGCTTTTGTCATTTCCATCTTACCAATATTTATTTTTAAAAATTATATATAGTTGCTTAACACAGTTGAAGAAACTACAAAAGATGTATCTGGTCTCCATTCCAAACTGGATCGTAAGAAAGCAGTTGATCAACACAATGCAGAAGCTCAGGATATTTTTGGCAAAAACCTAAATAATCTGTTTAATAAGATGGAAGAATTAATTAAGGATGGCAGCTCAAAACAAAAGACCATGCTAGAAGTTCACAAGACATTGTTTGGTAAGACCAAGCATTTCTAATAATTTTATTCTTTGTGTATTTAGTGTAAGGCTAATTTCAAAACTGATAATTTAATACTATAAATAACTTAGGTGACAGTGTCACAAGCCCCTTCCCAACACACAAACACACACACACACACACACATTTGTTCAGGCTAGGTGTGAATGCTTTTACTGCCTTTGAATTAAAAGTAGTCTTAGTTTGTTTTGCTGAGTTATGCTAATTTAATAGCAACTAAGTGTATAATCTTTAGAAGGAAAACTCTCCTTCTTTATTCCTGACCTTGGCTGATGCCCTGTAGATATTACTGTTAAATTTCTTAAGTTTCCTTCTGTAAATTTCTATACATAAATATTATTCTGTAACTTTTTTTTTTCTTGAGAATATATATCTTGAAAGTTTGTATATTTTGTCATAAATATGTATATTATTTTAAACCAATCCATTGTTGTTCTCCCTTTAGAATAAAAACTCTTAAATATTAAGTTTATTTATTATGAAAGTATTATCCTCATTATAGAAAATTGGGAAGATTCTGAGATGAAAAAATTCATAAATCACTTGGAGTCTAGTTATGCTAATAAGCCAATTACTATAAATTTTGTATGTTCTCTTCTATATATTCTTTTATCTACTATAACTATTATTTAGAGATTAATTTTAAAATATTCTAATTTTGGTTTACTGTGTTTCTATTTATGAGTTACATGTTCTTACTTCTATGTCAAGTGCTTACTGAATACTATAAAAAAACCAATGACCAAATTCACTACCGTTGAGTCAGTTCAACTCATAGAGACCCCTCCTTGAGTTTCCGAGGTGGTATCATCACAGAAGTAGATTGCCCAATCTTCCGAGGAGTGGCTGGTGGCTTTGAACCACTAGTCTTCTGGTTAGCAGTTAAATGCCTTAGGCACTATGCCACCAGAGCTCCCACGAATGCTATAGAACATATATATTTTTAAGATATTTCCTTGCTTATATAGTTAACCAATTATTTTAAGCTAATTTGATATTAAAAATGTCACAAGTATATCATTTTGCCAACTTCTTTGAAGTGATTCTAATCATATTTGAATACTTTTTCAAAGCTTACATCTCCCTTTGTTTTTTTTGTTATAGGTAATCTGCTGTCTTCCAGTGTCTCTGCCTTAGATACCATTACTACAACAGCACTTGGATCTCTTACATCTATTCCAGAAAACGTGTCTAGTTGTGTTGCTCAGATTTCTGATATGATATTGAAAGAACAGTCATTAGTGGCTGGAAGTAAAACTGTACTTCTGAAATTGATTGTTAGTAAATATCTTGAAATATTTTTAAAGATCACTTTGTTAAGTCTAAAAACAATGTTAACTGCTGTTCTTTCACCTTAAGTTTTACTAGACACAGGGATAATCATATAACTATGAGAGAGTAGGTTTATAGTTCATTAGACAGATCACTTGTTTTTTTTTTCCCTAAAAAAATTAATCTCCCTATGCATATAACCAGGCTTTGGAACTTTTTTAACTCATATTTTGTAACATTATGAGTAATAGTTATTATTAGGCCTTCCAAAGACTAGAAAAGGCAGGGTTAGCTCCAAATGAATTCAAGGGGCCCATGACTTGTCAGTTAGCTTAGGAACTAGTAGGTCACTCTTTCCCCAAGGGCCTTGCAAATACCTAAGATGGTCATGCTGGTGTTACACTGACCTTATCAGAAGGGAATATTAGATAGCTAATTTAAAAAATAAAGTTATGGAGAAAAATGTGCAAGAAAAACAATTTATAGAATTTTAGGAATACAATTCTATAGGATTTTAGGAATACAAGGTTCTAGGACACCTTACTCACTGCCGTCGAGTTGGTCCTGTTTCATAGCAACGCCTCCTTGAGTTTCCAAGGCAGCATCTCTACAGAAGTAGATTGCCTACTCTTCCTTTGGAGATAGGGTCAGATATATGTGGCCATGCCCTTCTGGTTTTTAAACACAGGCTCTTTCCACAATTCTATAGAAGTCATTCATCTAATTGCACTTAATACTATTATCTTTTTCCTATGTGATTTTTAAATACCCTTTCTCTTTTTTGTGATTGTATAGTTTGTTTAGGAAGTTCTTGGCTATATCACTTATTTTATTCCTGTCTTTATACAGGCTCTCTGCCACTCTTTTTGAATTTTGCAGTATTTCCTGAACATTGCTCAAATAAATATCATAAATGGTAGATGATACTGCCCAGATTCAGTTCTTGTATGTCACTATTTGATAGGTTTCTTTACTTGCCCATGTTTGACAAAGTTAAAAGATACTCTATCAGTACTATTTGGAGATTTATTCATTTGCTAAATGGTAGTTTGCTTTAGTTATGTCTTCCTAAATACCAAGTTAAAAGTATTGCTAGAGTCAAAAGAAGAGATGACTATCATCTCTATAGAACTGTTATGTTGTTGTTGTTATGCTATAGACTTAGTTGATAGTATTTTGTTGTTTTTATTTATTTCTGTTTTTGCTTGTTGCCCTTGCCCTAGTGAAAGGAACTTAGGCTAGGATTTTTTTACCCCCATTTTTATAAAAATACCCCATTTTCAGGTTCATTCTCAATTTTCCATATACTCTATAAAATGTTTACCTAAAGTTTTATGGTGGTGACCTTGACAAGTTTGATACAAAAGGATATAAGTCCCATGGGTCTTCAAAGTTAAATACCTCTCTCTTGCCCAAAGCCTATTATTGAAGGCTATTAGGTCTCTGCCTTTTTGACTTAGTAACTTAAACTTGTTAGAAATTTATTTTTATTAAAATGCATATAGGTTTTTTGGGAAATTTTGCCTTTGTTAGGAATGCTGAAATCTTACCAGTTGACTCTTATCTTTCCTTTTCTTCTGTTTCATTAGGCTGTTAGGGTTTTATTGGCACTGTGATCATTTTCTTAATTCCTATAGACAAGACTAAGTGACTTATTTTGAACATAAATTCTAGCAACAGATTTATCTCTCTACATTATAAGAAATGAGAATAGACTGTTAGAATTTTAATAATGCATATGTTTGGTCATCAGGGTATTTTATATTTAAGATATTAATTAACCAGCTAGGCTTATGGAAGTGAAAATATTCTTTTTAACAGACTGTTTATTTTTCAAACCAGAATGTATTTAAGACCGACCTTCTGAATTCACTAGAAACAATTTTATCCCCCACTGTGATATCTATACTGCAAATCAATAGTCAAATAAAGCATATTTTCAGGACTTCATTGACAGTGGCTGATAAGGTAACAAACATTATGTTCTTAATATCTTAAAATTGAGTTGTTGCTTAAGAGAAAAACTAATTTTTTTTTCTTCAAAGATAGAAGATCAGAAAAAGGAAATGGATGGCTTCCTCAGTATACTATGTAGTAATTTACATGAACTGCAAGAAAGTACAATTTCTTCTTTAGAGGAATCACAGAAGCTATGTGAAAGTTTAACTGAAGACCTGAAGACAATAAAGCAAACCCATTCACAGGTATCTTGTTTACCTGATTTGAGCAGTGTAAAAAGAAGGTGTTATGATGTTCAAATTGATAATGCATGTTACACAATCTGAATACTGTAAAGTAATTTAGAAACCTGAAAATACCATAACTGTTGTTGCTTATACTAGTGATCAGTGTAAAATAATTGAGAACATTTTTCTTTATCAGTTAATATTTGAGGATTTGCTACATGTAGAATCCTATACTGAAGTATAAGAAAACAAAACACTCCTTTACTTAAACTAAGATGATAGGTGAAGTTGGGAAAACTTACATTTAGTGGAGCAATTAGAATAAAATAGTTACATACAATGAACATTTATCTCTATTATAACTGGATAAATTGTTTTTTCTAGGATGACATATGGTTATTATTATTAATATTTTACTGTGCTTTAGGTGAAAATTTACATAGCAATTTAGTTTTCCATTCAATAGTTCACACACACATTGTTCTGTGACATTGGTCACGATCCCTGCAATGTCAGCACTTCCCATTTCCACCTGGGATTTCCCATTTCCATTCGTTCATTTCCTTTTCTCGTCATTGCCTTCTCATCTTTGCTTTTTGGCAGATGTCACCCTTTTGGTCTCTTACATTGATTATTCTAAAGAGTGTGTTCCTCCCAAGTGTTATCGTTTATTTTATAGGCCAGTCTTACTTAGTGAAAGGTGGCCTCCAGAATTGTCTTCAGTTCCAAGTTAGACGTTTGTCTTAGGGCAGTCAACTAGACCAATAAGCAGCATCACGATAAATGGAGAAAAGATTGAGGTTGTCAAAGAATTCATGTAGCTTGGTTCTGCAATGGAAGTAGCAGTCAGGACATTAGATGACGTATAGCACTGGGCAAGTCGGTTGCAAAGGAACTCTTTCAAATGCTGAGGAGCAAGGATATCTCCTTGAGAACTAAGGTGTGCCTGACACAAGCCATGATACTTCCAATTGCCTCATACACATGTGAGAGCTGGACAAGGAAGACTGAAGAAGAGTTGATGCTTTTGAGTTGTGGTGCTGGCAAAGAATCTTGAAAGTACCATGGACTGCTAAAAGAACTAACAGATCTGTCCTGGAGGAAGTACAGCTGAAATGTTCCTTGGAAGTGAGAATGGCCAGACTTCGTTTCACCTACTTTGATCATGTTGTGAGAAGGGACCATTCCCTGGACAAGGATGTCATGCTTGGTAAGGTGGAGGGTCAACGAAAGAGGGGAAGGCCTTCAACGAGATGGATTGACACGGTGGCTGTGATGATGGGCTCAAGTATAGCAAGGATCATGGAGCTGGCGCAGGATTAGGCAGTGTTTCATTCTGCTGTGCATAGGGTCGCTATGAGTCAGAAACGACTCGACAGCACCTAACAACAACAACAACAACTTAGGGCAGTAGTCTGGGTGTTGCTCCAGTCTCTGTCAGACCAGTAAGTATGGTCTTTTTTATGAATTAGAAATTTGCTCTACATTTTTTAGCCATTCTAACCAGGCCCTTCTGTTTTGTTCCTGGTCAGAGCAGTCAGTAGTGGTAGCTGGGCACCCTCTAGTTTTGGTCACAAGTCAGAGGAGGCTGTGGTTCATGTGGGCCATTAGTTGTTTTGACTAATTGCCTCCTTCAGTCTTCAGTTATCATCCTTCTCCTTTGCTCCAGACAGGAAGAGACCAATAAGTATATCTTAGATGGCTGCTTTCACAAGATCCCGGATACTACTTACCAAACTAGGAAGTAGAACATATCTTTATAAACTATATTATGACAATTGACCCAGATATCCCAAGACTATGGTGCTTAGCTCAGTCCTCCAAGGTGTTTGGTTGTGTCTGAGAAGTTTCCATAACTGTCCCTACTTCGTGATGTATTATATATATGAATATACATATAGCACTTACAAATATGTATGTAGAAATACCCACAACCATACCTGTATATGCATATGTGTGTACTCCCGTACAACCTTCCATATCTATTTAGCATATATACCTACCTTTGTATCCATTCACAAATTGTTGTTATTACTGTTGTGAGGTTTTATATGCTATAGAATTTACTGAAATTGCCCTTCTTGCATATATCTGTCTCACTGTGTCTTTGCCTTCGTCACATTGTGCTGACTTCCTCATATTGTATATTACCTTTCCCTTCATGTGTATTAACACGTCTACTCTAGTGGCATAGTGCCTAAGGCATTTGATTGCTAAGCAGAAGACTGGCGGTTCAAACCCACCAGCCACTTGGAAGGAAGGTTAGGCAATCTATTTCCTTCGTGATACCACCTCAGAAACCCAAGAAGGGATGGCTATGAGTTGGATCCAACTCAACGGCAGTGAGTTTGGGTTTGTTTTGTTTTTTTGTTCCCTCTACTATCTAGGTAATGATTCTTTCTTCTTCCCCCTGTTATCCCTGGTAGACATCAAAGAATGTTTCTTTTGGTATTTAAATCTAGTCTTGATTTTTTATAATAGTGGTCTCATACAATATTTGTCCTTTTGTGATTGGCTTATTTCACTCACCCTAATGTCCTCCGGATTCATCCATGTTGTGAGATGTTTGGTAGATTCATCATTATTCTTTATCCTTGTGTAATATTCCATTGTATGTAGGTACTACAATTTGTTTATCCATTCCTCTGTTGATGAATACTTAGGTTGTTTCCATCTTTTTGCTATTGTGACATGGGTGTGCATATGTATATTGATGTTCAGCTCTTATTTCTCTAGAATATATACTTAGGAATGGTATTGCTGGATTGTATAGTATTTATATATCTGTCTTTTCAAGGAGGCTTCATACTATTTACCATAGTGGTTGTACCATTTTACAGTCCCACCAGCAGTGTATAAGAGTACCAATCTCCCTATATACTCACCAGCATTTGTTGTTTTCTGTTTTTATTTTTTTGATCAATGCCATTATTGCTGGGATAAGGTAGTATCTCATTGTCATTGTGATTTGCAACTCTCTAATGGCTAATGATTGTGAGCATCTTTGAATGTGTTAGCTGCCTGAATGTCTTCTTTGGTGAAGTGTCTGTGCATGTCCTTTGCCCATTTTTTAATGAGATTCTTTATCTTTTGGTTGTTGGGGTGTTGAAGTTTTCTATAAATTTTAGATATTAAACCCTTGTCAGATACATCACTGCCAATTTTTTTCCTCCAATTTGTAGGCTCTCTTTTTACTCTTTTGGTGAAGTCTTTTGATGAGCATTGCATTGCATTTTTTAGGCGGTCCCAGTTATCTGGTTTATCTTCTGCTGTTTGTGCATTATTAATTATGCTTTATAGTATATTTGTGCCATAAATTAGGGCCTCTAGCTTTGTCCCTGTGTTTTCTTCCATGAACTTTATATATTTAGGTTTAACATTTAAGTCTTTGATCCATTTTGAGTTACTTTTTTGTGTGGTATGAGGTGTGGATCTTGTTTCATTTTTCTGCAGACAAATATCCAGTTTTATAAACACTGTTTGTTAAAGAGACTATCTCTTCCCCATTTAATGGACTTTGACCCTTTGTCTGAGATCGGCTGACCATAGCTGGATAGATTTATTTTTAGATTCTTGATTATGTTCTATTGGCCTATATGCCTGAGATCGGGAAGTATGAGGCCTCCTACTTTGTTCTTCTTCAGTAATTATTTAGCTGTCTGGACCCTTTTTCCTTTCCATACAAAGTTGGGTATTAGTTTTTCCATTTCATTAAAGAATGTTTTTGGAATTTGGATTGTGATTGCATTATATCTGTAGATTGCTTTGGGTAGTACTGACATTTCACAATATTAAGTCTTCCTATCCATGAGCATGTTATGTTTTCCATTTACATAAATCTCTTTTGGTTTCTTGTTTTGCAGTTTTCTTTGTATGTCTTTTGTATCTTTGGTTAGGTTTATTCCTAAATATTTTTTCCTTTTGGTGGCTATTGTAAATGGTATTGTTTTCCTGATTTCCTTTTTGAAGTCTTCTTTGTTAGTGTAAAGGAATTCAACTGATTTTCACATGTTGATTTTATAGCCTGACACTTTGCTAAACTCTAGTATTAGTTCCACTAACTTTCTTGTGAAGTGTCTGGGGTTTTCTATGTAAAGGATCATGTCATCTACCAGTAGGAGTAGTTATACCAATTGCCCATTTGGATGCCCTTTGTTTCCCTTTCTTGCCTTCTTGCTCTAGCTAGGACATCTAGTGTAATACTGAATAAGAGTAGTGATAGAGGGCATCCTTGTCTGGTTCCTGTTCTGAAGGGGAATGATGCTTTCAGTTTCTCTCTGTTGAGAGTAATGTTGGCTGTATCTTTTATAAACTAAGGCCTGCTTTATCTTATTTCCATTTCGTTGATGACAGGCATTTAAATTGTAGTAAATTAGTACAACTTTTAAATTTTTATTGATTATAAATGTAACTCATGACTTATCTTCCTCTATATAAACCATTCCCAAATGTATGAGGCTTTAAACCCCAAGACATAATTTTCAAACCAGGGAAGTCATAAACTATAAATATCAGATATATATAGAAAGTAACTGCTAGTATTCTTAAGGATTACAGAATGAGGCTATCACAACATAACAGAACTCTTTGGTCAATAAAGCTGTTGACATGGATCAGTGAGTAAAGGGTTCTTGCACTTTGGAAAGTGAAGGAGAGAGAATTCATACTCATGTTATATAAAATGAGAAGGGCAAACACATCTGTGGTAGTTAAATTTGTATGTCAGCTTGGTTGAGTGGCTGGGCAGCTTGTGATAGTTACTCCCCATGATGAGACTGGCAATCAACTCCATGGTGGGATCTACCACAAGCAACTCAGTAGCTACTTTATGGATGTGGTCTGCTTCTTGTATATAAGCAGTAGCTTTGGGAATGGTCTCTAGCTTATGGCACGCTTGAACTCTGCATGCAGCTGTGTCATTGTTCAGCAGCCTGCCGTGCTCTCCCGACCTTGAGAATTTCAGTGGATTTGAATTACTGGCCTGCCACATGGTTTGGTAACATCAGGACTGTGCCTTTTTACTTGGCAACTTTGGGCTTGTCACTCTCAGCAGCTGCCTGAGTAAAGAAAAGCCTCTTGCTCCAGTGGGCCAGGAGCAGAAGGCAGAGCTGAAGCCCGAGGTTGAGTGCTTTCACCCAGACCCTAGAGCTTGGCACTTTGAACTTGGACTTAAAGACTCCAAACTGTAAGAGAATAAACTCCTGTTTGTTCAAACCATCCCATTTGTGCTATATTCTTGTCAGAGTGGCACTAGGTAACCAAAACAGCATCTAAGATTTTTGGGAAAGAGTGAAAGCCTCTTTAAAATAAGATCTTAATACTCTTAGCTGTCATAATTGAGTAACATGAAATTTTTCAGAGAGAGAATTAACATTGGAAAATAGTAAAATAATAGTTAACAGATCATCTTATATATGATTGTTGATTATATTGCCTGTAAAGAATCCATTTTTGAGTGGCTCTTCTATAGGTTTCTGGGCAATTTGGAGAAATGTGAAATTGCAGCAATTTCTTATACCTCTTGATATAGCCTTAAGCCTGTCTAGAATAAAGGTAAATCAGCTTTTTATACATAGCTTTCTTGAGATGCTCATAATGGCTAGACAACTAAACAAAAAATTTCTGGCCTGAAAAGTATCTTAGCTTAAATGGTTTGTCTTCCCTGGCTTTAAGAAAACAAGTTCACTAAGTGAATTATTTCTTAGATTCTCCAGAACTTGAAGTTAACAAATCAGTTTTGTAAAACTGCGAACATATATTTACATGTAGTTAATTCTGGTAATACCTGAAATTTACTCTATTTTGAGACTAGTGAAACTGACAGACATTATTTATAATCAGAGTGTTCAATATGTACAGTCAGCTGGTGTGTCATTCAGAGATACTGGCTAGCTAACGTACTAAACAGCGAAGATGAATGCTGGACACATTTTCAGCTCTTTGGTCTTTAGTGTGGCTTTTTTTTTTCTGCATTGCAAGTCCCTATCATGTTTTATGTCTATAAGAACTTGTCTTTAAAGACGTTAAGTATGAGAAAGCAGAAGGTAAGACTTTAAAAATATATATATACACACACACACACATATATAAATATATGTGTGTGTGTGTGTATATATATTA